ACTAGTGATAGTTTGTCCAGGGAGGAGTGACAGCCTTGAAAACTCATGTAAATCAGTAGTGAAAAGTGAGGGACAGATCCTCAGCTGGTGTAAATTGTAAAACCTCCATTGAATTCAATTGAGCTATAGCAATTTAGGATCTGCCCCAAATAAGTATTTTGCGAAAGAACCTGAATTGTCCCCAGTAGATTACTTTTGAGATGTCACTGGTAGCTCTCCTGCACATATTGCCCCGAGTGCCTGCGCCAACACAGTATAGAAGTTCTTTGAAAGGTAACACTGTGCCCCGTGGTACTCTAATATAAATTGTTGTAGCTCTATTGGGTTCAGTGTGCCCTTGTGCAAAAATGCAATGGTGACCTCAGCAACATGTTGGAGCTAGAAGCAACTGCCTAGTGGAATTTTGGACTATGTTATCAACATTGTGGTAGCTGCTGTGAAGGTGAAGGAACAGTGGAGACTTTTCTCTCAACTTCTTGTTTTCATACTTTCAAAGTTTTTTGATGTGTAGGTTGATCCTGATGCAACTTAAACAAAAACTCTGCATAGTGGGGGTTATGTTCATTTAGTAAAGAAGTGTTGCATCAGGTATCTAATATTACATCATGGTGCTTATGGTCCAAGGGCATCATTGTTCCTTAATTCAAATGGTTGTTGTTTACTTTCTTCAGTGTTTTTATGTGATGTTAATAACTTTTGAATGCTGTACAGTAAACAACTTGTTACACATCCCACCCCGGGGTGACAACAAAGCATTAGCCTAGGGTAGCAAAACATTAGCCTAGGGCCAAGGGCAGCGCTCATGTTGATTTTCTTCTTTCAGTTAATGGATTTGGAAGTGCTGTTTCTGCAATTTCCTGTTGTGATTCTCTGGTGGGCACAGCTCCTGAGTGCTTGGTTTGTCATGTTCACTTACTAGTATGCTCCTATGCTGTGTATTACAGGTTTCTAAGATCATAATATATACCATGGTCACATGCCTAAATACTCAAACACAAGAAGCAGCTGGCATCTGTATTCATTCCAAATGGAATCCCGAGTTCTTATGTCTCTGGGCCCCGCTCTTCTCTATCAGCCTGCTCCATGGAGCAAAGCTATGCTGGGTCCTGGGCCTCCTGTCAGTGAGGAGTCAGATCTGCAAATCAATGAGAATTTGTCCTTAATTTGTCACTTCTTGGAAGGGTCTTGGCTGATTCTAAGTTCCTTGGGTCTTCTGGGAAATTTTCCTACCGGCCAGACTGATCCGGTGGCTGCAGTTCAGTGGAGTGTGATGTGATTTCTCTTTATAGTTTTTGTCAATCCTATTATGATTTTTCAGGAGAAAAATGTTGTATGTGAGTAATGATCTTTTTAGATTGTATGCTGTTCAGGACGGGGACCATGGCTTCCTCTAGATTTGAATAGCCCCCAATGTATTTTGTCTGCCACTGTAATATAAATAATAATAATAATGGAAGATACTGTGACAGCCTTTTTAAAATAATACTAGCCCCTTTAAAGCTAGGAAATGAAGAGGTGAAGCTGAAAAGTTATCTGCAATTTTGGTTACCCTCCTGTCTTGCTGAGTTCATAAGGTATATATGAAACTGTAATTCTGAAGCCCCCTAATAAATGATAATATGCCAATGCTAATGCACAACAGATCAGGTTATTATAGGCACAGTAGAGCCATTACAATGTACTGTTTAAATATATATTTAGGGACTTTTTAGCTGCCCATTTTCCCCCAGCTAAATCTTACAGGCTTCTTTGGAGTAGCCATCATGGTCCATTGTATAAATTCATATTATAGTGGCTTTCTGCAAAGGTGTGTTTTGACTCAGTAGAGTGTAACAGCTCATTTGGAATCGTTGCAGTCCCTCATGGCAATGAGTATTTAGGGACTCTTAAATCCAGGGGCAATTTGGCTTTGCACGTATGCATACAAAGTCTGTGTGGTGGAAATCCCTGTGGTGCTACATGGGTAGTGCAGTGCACAAAGTAAACTGCCTTCCTCAGTGAAACAACTTGTACTCTTACATAGATTAGGGGCAGAAATAAAATCCATCATCTCTCTCTCTTCCGCTTCCCCCTCAAAAAAGTACCCCAAATGACTCTGTACGCATTAAAGTACTAGTGAAGGCCATTGCCAGACCTTTTAACATTCATCATTTTAATATTTACCAGAGAAAGCAGACAATAGTCATTTTTTATAAAATCAGTAGTTTTCAGAATAGCTGTTCCTGTTCAGATCACAAGTGAAAATCAGTATGATGCTCTTTTTCCTGAAAGTGAGATGACTCTCAGCACTGGACAGATCCAGGTAACCTTATGGTCCAGGAAGGAACTGTACAAGCTTCCCCACACCACTCTGCCTATGCACCCCACAGCCGTGACTGACAGTACCTGTGTTGCTGAAGTCCTGGATCTTTCTTCACCAGAGGCTACTTAATCAGGCCAGAATGAGATAAACAGTGTGTTAATTTTGCATCAGTGTAGAAGAGGACTGAAGTATTGTGATTGTCTTATTATGACCCTAAGATAGGATTTGAAGTCAGCCTCATGAGGTGAAAGGTTGGAACAAATGCAAGCCCCACTGAAACCAAAGAAAAGACTCCAAGAGGGGTTGAATCAGGCCTTTAATCCTTTGCTCTGCTTTGCCTCCTGATTTTGATGGTCCTTTGCAAACATTTGTGTATCAAAACCATCATGTATTTTGGTACGTAGAGCTGGTCAATTTTTTATTTTTTTTTTAATTTTCACTAAAAATATTTGTCAACAATTAGAGCTTTTAAAATATTTTGACCTGAGTTGGTTGAAAAAAAAATGTCATCAAAAATTCAGAAATACCCAAAATATTGACTAGTTGTAATGGCACTATTGGAAGTCCCCAGCGAACATAGAATTAATACTGGGGGGAAAAAGAATTGTTCAGTGGTATTTATGAAATATGTTTAAAAAGTTATATGGGGTGTATTATACCGGCCTCTTGCCAGTGTTCTTATTCTATTTTTCAGTCCAGCATACTGATATATATGAAATTCATGCTTTTTATTTTAGTGAATATTTGTAATGCTTTGAATTCCTGTCTTGGCAGAGAATAATGATGCTTTCTAATTACAAATTTTCCAGCTAAATTTTAAATGAAATAAGGAACATATCTTTTTTTAACATGCTCTGGCCATATCATGCAGGCTATATCATTCATAATCTGTTTTTGGCCTTTGAAATGATGAACAGATAATTTTACTGTATTGGTTAAAGGATGTTGTAGCCACTAAAAGAACTCAGATCTGCAGCATTGGTTTAACACATTATTGCTAGGGCAAGCCTCAGTTTAATGATCCAGATGCCAGTAAAACAGAATTCCAAAGGGGGAAAAACTTTGTGATATGTGAAATGTAACCTTATTTCTCAAAACTTTGGGGGCAAATGAGGCATAGAAGATATTTTCAAATGTATACTGTCTGAAACGTGATGTTAAATCTTTTTCCTAACTACTAATGCACTGCAGAATCCTTAGTTGAAGCATATAAGTTTCATGGATCTGCTGATGAAGGTGACATTACATGAGTCTAAGCAGTTCTGTGCAATGACATTAGATTGGCAGCTCCACTGCAAGCATTTTTAGCATCTTGAACTAGCTAAAGGTAATTTGTGCTGGTAATTAAGAAGATTGGTTTCATTTTTATGAGAAGGGATTTGGAGAAAAATTAGGGCCCTTTTTCAGAAAAGGACTTGTTTGCCAATGTGCTGTAGATTCTAATTGAAATTGTAGGAAGGAAGTATATACCTAATAGTTGGAGCAGGGTACTAGAAGTCAGGACTCGTGGGTTCTTGAAACAGCTCTGCCAATTATTTTGTTGGGTATACTCATCTGTACCCTGGTACACATCTCACTTACTAATAGGTGTGATGAGAGGCTCAGCCAACTGATGTTTGAACTTAAAAGGGGTTATACAAATACAGTACACAACTGACAGATGGAAGTGTTTTTGTAGTGTATAGATTTCAGGGGTGGCTTTTCTTTTTGCACCACAGCAACCCCTTGGTACAGATTTCAGGGACCAAAAAAAAAAAAAGGGTAGAATGAGCCACTGAAGTGTTTAAAGGTAGATCACTGTCATACAGCACGCCTATGGTAGACACAAACTATCCTGGGAAAGAGCTTGCGAGCAGGGAGGAGGTCAAGAAGGAAAAAAAATCAGAAGAGTTGTAAATTAAGAAGGTAGTAGAGAAAGAACAAGGGAAAGGGACATGGAATCTCCTCTCATAGAGAGCAGTGTCAGAAATGTCTTTTTAAGCTGTTTCTTTTTTATTCATATAGATTAACTGGGAATTTCTAAAGCTCATAGCTGAGGGGTTTTTTTGTAATGGAAATAAGGAGCATGTATGAGTCAGTACTTTTTGAAAGCCCGAATCCTCCCAACTATGGCATTAAAAATGAGCAAAGGAAGGGTTAGCTGTCATGTTTCAGTCTTTGTTCTCTCCACACTCTAGTTGTTTGTGTGATAGGGGTACAAGACATAGTCACACATCTGTAGAGACATATTAACTAATAGGTCTTGAGGCCCAGGCACAAAATGCAGTGATTTTGGATGTGCCCATCTGTTGATTCAGGCAGGTGAAAGAGCAAGAGAGCAACAGCTATGAGTGCAGTCTGGGAGGGCATGGGTATCCAGAGGTATGTGTTGTTCAGAAAGATTATTGGACCCACTGGTGAGTGTGTGTTACAGGTCCCCCTCTGTGCCCCATTTGTAGAAGATATGATTCTGTTACAATCTCAAAGCCTTGGCTAAAATCTCTACAAAGCCTTGGCTTCAGCCGAAGCAGCTCATGAGTTTTAGCTCTGGAGGTCCCTGGTTCAATGTTTAGTGTGACAGCCAAGATTGCTGCCATCACACATGCTCAAATGCTTGGAAACCCCTCTGCTGCGTTAAGAGAGCCTAGCAGTGAGAACCCACATATCAAGATGAAAAATTTAGAAAAATAAACTTTTCCCCCCTGTCCTTTGTCTCCAGGATCCCGTCTTCGCCAGGAGGACTTTCCACCACGGATTGTTGAGCATCCTTCAGATGTGATAGTCTCTAAGGGAGAGCCAACAACTCTGAACTGTAAGGCTGAGGGAAGGCCAACTCCCACTATTGAATGGTACAAGGATGGAGAGCGAGTGGAGACTGACAAAGATGACCCCCGCTCCCACCGTATGCTGCTGCCCAGCGGATCTTTATTTTTCTTACGCATTGTACATGGACGCAGGAGCAAACCTGATGAAGGAAGTTATGTTTGTGTTGCGAGGAACTATCTTGGTGAAGCTGTGAGTCGCAATGCATCTCTGGAAGTAGCATGTAAGTAATCCAAAATATGATCACCACCTTCTAAAATTCATGTAAAACTTTGTAGTTGCTTTGATGTTAACATATAGCCCTCTCATGCAGTACCGAGTTAGCAGATAATAAATGTGGATAAGCATGTCATTTTACCTTTCACTATTACTCTTAGCCAAGCTGTTTTCACACACATCTATTCAGTCGCAATGACCATGCAAAATATATGATTTATACTGAGGTACCATTCTAGCCTGTGTATAATCATAATTGACATTAGCATGGAGGAATCCTAGTCTCCCTTTAATGAGTAATCTAATTTTGAAATTATGGGTCAAGTTGGTTATACTGAACCATAACATTAAAAATTTAAATATCATTTAATATAAGGGTGCACTGTCTCTTTCTCCTTATTGGGTCATCTGTTACTTCTGCAGAAGTAGTCAGTTTCCAGTCTGGTGACTCATGTACTATACTGTTGAAAGCCTCAATCCCTTCAGAGTTCCCTTCTGCCAAAAACTCAGTGCAGGTCTCATTCATTATGTGACTGGCATGTGATAATTGTTTACCATTTCTCAACATATCTAGAACAGTCTTATTCCTATTGATTGGCTTTATGTAACAGTGAAGTCATCACCGATCTTTTAGAGAATTTGAAATTACTGAGACCCTCATGCATGAATGCTCTGCTTCCAAGTGAACAAGCTGAAACAAGGTCATTTTATTTGCATCTTAAAGAAGCTTGTCTTTCACAAAATGTAAAGTTACTATGTGTTAACTGCCCCTAATTAATTATCTGGGTTGAAAAGGAGACGGGAAAGAAAAATAAATTTCAGCATGCAAAATGAAGTCAGTTAATGCTGCCTGTGCATTTTCATATAAATGAATTTTTAAAAAATGATTAAAAAGCTAAAATCACAATTCTTTTCTTAGACTTCATTTTCACTACAGGGAGGGTGCAAGGCCCTGATTCAGCAATCTTTCCCTACTCAGCAAAGTAGTTAAACATGTGTTTAACTTAAGCCCCATTGACTTCTGTGGTAAGCACATACTTCAGCATTTAGGGTGAAGAGGGATGGACTTAAGCATGTACTTAAATGCCTTGCTGACCTGCGATCCAAGTATTTTGCCTACTTTTTTTTCTAGGTGGCTAACCTTTTTAATCTTTCAATTTCCAAATTCCTCCATTGTCATACAGCCACCCTTGTATGAGGATAAGAATACCTTCTCCATGGCTGATATCAGTTATAGTCTTTGAGAAATAAGGGAAGGAGTTCATATCTGAAACTACCAGAAGTAATTGAAGGGTATTGGAAGAACTGCTGGTTCAGTTTCCTTAAAAGAATTTCTCCTGCTTCAACTGACTTTTGTGTGTACAATGCAAAACGTTAGTTAATCTTGATAGTTTGTCATTATCTTCATACATTACAGAAAGGACATTCCCTTGAACTAATTGTCAGATGATATGGGAGCTAAACAGTAGAGCAGGGTAGGCCAATGCATTACCTTTCATTTCATAGAACCTTGTTTCAAAGATTTTTCAAATCAGACCTGAAAGGTAGTTTACAGTTTTCATTCAAGTCCTCAGTGAAGACTTGTCCCCATCACAAAAGCATCACATAGTTTTGCACAGTTTAGGACTGTAGGCATTTTTGCACTGCAGAGAAGGACAGCATGAGAGAGGTTGCAAAGCTATTTGAAGAAACCTACATTCTGTGTGGGTGTCCAACCAAGGCTATTAGATTATTACTCTTCTGAGCACTGTATTCACATGCATGATTGTTGAGATCTCTGAGAGAGGTTATGTTGTCTTTATTACAAGTATAAACATGTTTGAAATGTTTGGCTTCTTAACTTGCAGATTTGCCTGGTACATGATGTTAAGATTAAAACATCTACTGTCTGGATATAGAGTAGAAAAACTGGTGCAGTTGCACCTTGAGTCATCACATCAAAATGATTGGTTGTTTCAAAATAAAAGTATGCTTTTATTGCATCAAATCTTACTGATCTCTACTACAATGACTGCTGAGAGTCTCTAGTTACCAACTGTTCAGTCTCCTGAGTTACAATTTTAACCACTGCAGCTGGTGGCAGGTCATGCATGAACTAAAAGTCAGATAACAGAAGACTGCAAAAATAATAAGACCAGGTTTCATTGTAGATGGTGTTTTAGGGAAGGATCACAGAACATGAAATCTGAGAGCTGAAACCATAGCCAAAGTTTCTGTAAAGGCATCGTGCACCTGACACCAGATTATCTTAGTGTTTTTGTACCTTTGAAGTTTAACTGACTGAATTCTTCAATTAAACTCTTTGGGGATTAAAGGGAACATTCCTGGGCCATTTAAATTAAATGGTTCTTTGTCTTTGCTTGAACTGAAACATGATGGTCTGAGGGACTTCATGAAGGATGGTAGAAAAGTTTTTAAATATGTTCATTCATGATTTAAGGGCAAGATTCTGCCACACTTATTCACTTTGTGAATAGGATCTATTGATTTCACTGGACTATAGACTCAATAAAATACAGTCTTATTACCTTTGTGACCTAGACATCTTTTACAGCTTAGGTAGCATTGCTTCCAAAGAACATCGTTATGTTGGACATCTGTGTAAAAAGATTGTCACTTAATGCACCTGACTGGGATGCAGCTGTTACTGGAGACTGCAAAACTACTCAACTCTTCCCAGTTTACTGCAAAAGTTCATGTATTTTCTCATTCAAATGTCTATTTTTTTTTATTCGTAAGGATCTAAAATAAATTTCCAAATGATTTGTAGGAAACAGCCCCTTTAAGGCTTTACATCAAGCTTTGTGCATCATAACTGTTTATAGGTTGTTGGAGACTCTCTAAAAGTCAATCTCCATTAGAGAAATGAGCTGTTGCTGATAACTGTTGTCAGCAGCGGGTGCCCCGCACCACTTCAGTTGCTGAATTAAAAACCGTTTATCTGCTAGGTAGTTGGGACACTACAGCATTGCTAAGAGAAAGCATGATAGGCCACATTCCGCCAGGTCTCACTCATGCTATCTGTAATGGTGTTGAAAACTGCTGTCTCTACCCTAGCGGTTAAACCTTTTTCAACACCCGATAACGAGGAGCTAGTGGGGTCCTTTTGCTGGTAACCATTGCCATGGATCATTTTTCCAGTGTAGGTGGACCCTAATTGTAGCAAAAGGGAAATGGCTGCTTTTCACAGATCTAAAAATACTTGAATCTCTCTTCTATTTTGGTAATTAATCAATAGTGAATTATTTAAATATCTGTATTAAATTGTGTCTCTTTAAAAATGTGAAGCTGAACAATCCCTTTGAGAAGGGGCACTTTGTAAATAAACGTTTGTTTTTATTAGTCTCTCAAATTACTGTTGGGAAACTGCGCATGCTTTTGGTCTGGGCAAAGATCCAAGTGACTAACTGGTTCATTCTTGTCTCCTTTTCCTACTGTTTTGTATGGGCACCTACCACACAAACACCATGATTCTTGAACTTATTCATATTCCTGTGTTTAGTTGAAATCATTAGAACTACAAGGGGCCATGATTCAAAGAAGCATATAATATTTAAAGTTAAGCATGTGCTTAATCCATTGCTGGATTGGGGCCTGTGGTTGCTGTCTTTGTTTTCCTAAAGAAAACTAAAAAAAAAAAAAAGTCTTACTCCTAAAGATTTTCAAAAATATTTTTATTTGAAAGCATAATTCATCACTGATGCATTTCAATCATGCTTGGACTGATACTTGGGTTAGTATTTTAGTAAGAATTTCCTACTAACCAGAAACTAATTCCAACATTATTGATGGATCTGACATTTGTATGGGAATTGTGTTGCGTTTTTTTAATAGTTAAACCATTAATAGTAGGCACTGTGCTCTTAAACCAACAGAAAATAGTTGTTTTATTCAAAAGAGAAAAATGTGTTTATCTTGAGTATGTTTCAAATACCACACATAGAATTTTTATGCAATTTAGAGTTGGTATTAGAAGCATCATAAATGAAATACCCAAAATGTGCTTAGGATCATTTTAAATAATCTGGTATAAAAGGTAGGTTTTAAGTAATCTGTCTTTTGTGAAATGCCTTCAGTGCTTTTTAAATGTTTTGAAAATAAAAGCACTATTTTTCACAAAGCAAAAAATTGACATTCCTGAAACCATGGTGTGGAGTTTTCCAATGGGAATATTGGGAGACACATTTGCGGTAGCTACTGTAGGTAGGATTTCAGTTTCAAGCACTAGGGCGCCACATGTAAGGAACAGAAAGAGCATAAGGGGACCTCGCACTGACTCAGGCTGTCTCTGATCTACCCTGAGTTAGTGGGAGCCCCCAGAGATAACAGCTGTAGCCCCAGGTGTTAAATATGTGACAGCAGCTTGATCTATCGACCAGTGTAAAAGGGGGCTCTGGCCTAAATGAAAATTCATGAAAAATTGATGAAGTCCCCAGATTATTTTTTTTCCTTTTTCAATGCTGTGCCAATGTAGTGAGGAGAGATTAAATGAGGTGTTGAATGCTTTAGTGGCAAAGAGGTTGTGGTTCAAAGGTTAGGGGTCATGAATAAAAAGATCATCTCCCTCCCCCACCCTTTGCTTTCTTCTAAAACAAAACACAAGAGCTTCTCAGATTAGCCAGGGTTTATTTTGCCTTTGATATCAAAATACAAAAAGAATAATTGTTCAAAAGCAGGGGTATTTTTCACTAAAAGGGAAGGAGTGTGGAGGTTGGGGCTGATACAAAAGAGTGAACAAAATCTGATTCATAATTCAATTGGAGAACCAGAAATAGATTGAATTCCACGACTGCAATTTACATTTTGGCCTCCATCTTTCAGGGTTTGTGCTTGAACTGAAGTCATTAGGAGAAAGAAAAGGTCTTGCATTATTTATAGGTCACAGATTGCTGGAATAGCAAGCTTTGGAACACTCTCAAAACATAATGGTCCTGTTTGCATTAAATCCAAAACTAAATTGATGCTTTATCTGTATGAGTAAGAGAGGTTACAGCAGAAGACTGAGAT